CCGGGGCCCGCGTTCCCGGGTGAAGAAACCGGCCCCCCCCCCCCCCCCCCCCCCCCACTACGCGAATTAAAAAAAGAACTAACTGCTCAGCTGAGCTCCTTAATGAGCTAACCTCAATCACTGGACAACGCCATCGTCAGAACCCTTTAGTATCTACTAGCAAACTTCTTCTATGCTACTCGGTGTCACATCTCAAACTTCAATATTTTTTAATACATAAATGTATAATTATATTTTTATTTTGATCATTTAACGACGTTTTTCACTATCGAGGCTATGTAGCGTCGGATTACAGGATGAATAAATGAAAGTGAAGCAGTTAGTGGAATGAGAATTAACAAGGGAAGAGAATTACTAGGTGGAAATCCCCCCCCCCATTTCCATTTTCTTGCCCACATGACCTGAACTTTGATCGAACTTGGGTCGCATTGTGGGTAGCCGGGGACGAACCGTCGGAGCTGTGAAAGTATATTACTGAGGGTAAGTAGATTTACGACATGAACAAGAAGAAGACAATACAGTTACGTGTTGGTTCCCTGAAGATGTAATGAATTGCTTTGTAAATACTGACAGGTCTTCATTTGTCTATCTGAATTTATATTAATAATATATTAAATAAATTGCGTTGAATTTTAATTGCATTCTCACAAAGAGGATTATGAAGAGTACATTGTTCCGAGACACAACGCCATGTTGTCTGACAGCAGTTCACCTACCTTCCGGAAAAACTAAACTGTAGTCACTTTCGTGCCCAAGACATGCTGAGCAAGCAAAACGCAAGCAGCAAGCTGACCTAACCGTGCGTAGAAAATGGTGCTTGAGGCTTCTTGTTTCACGCTTAACACCTGATGCTTGTTGCTGGCCGCTAATCATTTATCCAAAGAATCCTTCCGAAGCCCTTTGTGATATTTCGTAACAAAATTATTTTTCACTGTGAGTAGTTTCTAGCCTCAGGTCCAGCCCCCATACTGGAGGACAACATCTGTCGGCTGTCCGCGACTGCTTATCGAATATATTCGCAGCTACCCTCCGTAGCAGGAGGCAGTCTCCTCCACCCGCAACTTGAGGGGGCGCCATGCCGTAGTGACAAAGGGGGGCCCACTTCACACGTGATCTCATAAGCATAATTTCATTTACCCAAAATAAGGAAAACAGGCTAAGAATGAATAGGTACTTATNAAGGGCCGCGCCATAGCTCAAGCGGTTATTCGCTGGCTTCCCACAGCGGCGGCCCGGGTTCGATCCCGGGTCTGGTCAAGTGGGATTTGTGGTGGACAAAGTGGCGCTGGAGCAGGTTTTCTCCGAGTACTTCGGTTTCCCATGCCAATCTTCATTCCAACAAATTCTCCATCATCATAACACCCGGGGCAGGTACAATAAGCCAATCAGTGGCCGCCGTGACGAGTGGACCCAGTTGGACTCCACGCCCCACTAAGCGAATTTAAAAAAAAATTACTTACTTATGGAGCTGAGCCCTTCTTGAGGAAAAGCCAAATCTGCACCTACTCAAGAATTTTCCAGCATTTTATAGAACCAAAAGGTTCATTACCGTTTTCACAAGCACCCTCCACTGTTCCCTATCCCGAGCCAGATCAATCCAATCTAATAAGGGATAAGTTCAGAAGCTAGTCCATATATGCTTGCATTCGGGATGTTTCTGCTTAGAATTTCGAATGAACCGTGATCTTGGCATTAAGTTCCAAGGTGACAGAAGAAAGTAGACCGCTCTAGCATATCCGCTTACGTAGACAGAAGGAAAGTTGCAATATTGTTCTCTGATACTACAACCTCCTGGAATTCGGGCCCACAGTCTGATTATTTCTGTCGCTATGCTCAGATTAGATACGGGTCTGAAGGCAATGTCTCTACAGTTCAGCACAGCTCAAAGATAATCACAGTCGGTGCTAAGATACTGTTTGAAAATCGATCTGTAATGGCAGTACGCAGTTGTTCTTAACCTTCACAGGATGTGGCACGGGGAGACGTCGGTATATACTGTTTTCCTATTAGGAATTTCTGGTGAGTACAGCATAAATTTATCAACGAAACAATTCCTAAGACTACTTTTTCGCGAGAGTTTGTGACATGCATTAACGAAACATTGCTGAGTCATGTGGCTATGTTGAAACAACTCCGATTAAATGGTTCTCTAAGGCGCGTTATAGAAACAACAATTCGGCCGTTGTGACCCCAAATATTTCCACTTTTACACCAAAATGCTCGGGTTTCTAACGACTGCGATTATGAAGACCGTTGTCCTGCAGAAAGAGGTACAACGTATTCTCGAGGATCGTTATAAACGTTTCGAAGGAATCTGCTGCCTCCATCTTAAAGGTAAAAGAGTGATTACCAATCATGAGATTTTTCAGAATGATATATTATAATTAATTCAACGAAATAATTATTCACTTATTAGTCTACTGCTTTAAGACATTTCTCGTATCTAGGACATGAATAGCCATATTCAGTCTCATTGAGAATAAAACAGAAATACTTACTTTACGGGTTGCGCCGAACGATTGTGTTTTTACGCCTATTTTACGTCAATTTAGCAGAAATTAACTCTGCAAAAACTTTCTTGACATTAGTTTCCATTTCTGTGATAATCTCACACTCACTCACGGGACTGAGCCCTTCTTGAGAAGACGCCATTTGTGCAGCTACGCAAGAATTTCCCAGCATTTTATGGAACCCGAAGGTTCATTACCGTGTTCACAAGAGCCCTCCATTGGTCAATATTCTGAGCCAGATCAACTCAATCCATACCATCCCATCCTATTTCTCTAAGATACATTTTAATATTGTCCACTCACTTACGTCTTGATCTTCCCAGTGGTCTCTTTCCTTCTGGATTTCCCATCAATATCCAATACGCATTCCTCTTTCTCTAATAACTGTGTTCTTAATTTATTTTACGTCATTTCAGCAGTACTGTACTGGGGAAATCTTGAAATTCATAGATACATTTCAAAAATATTCTTGCAATTATTACTCGTAGTTCCGATTTCCGCAACAGGAGGCGACAAGAGCATGGGTCCAAAACTGCGTCCTGAGGAACTTCATGATTCCTAGTCCGAGCCAGATATTGTTGCTCTGATCAAGTAAAAAGAATTAGATGGGTGGGACATGTAGTGAACATGGGAAATTGAAATCCATACAGATGTTTGGTAAAAATAAGTAATCACTTAGAAGATCTTGTTCAACTGACAGAATAATATTAAAATGGATCTGAAATTAACAGGATGGAATGGTGTGGTCTGAACCCATTAAGATCAGGAACAGTCATGCACTGTCGGATTTAAAGAAAAAAGAATGTTTAGATTGTCTTGGGCAGCTTAGCAGGTATTAGCTTCTCAAAGAGAATTCCGTTCCATATATTTAGTTAGTTAGTAAGTCTTTTCAGTATTTGCTTCTTACTATTCCAACCCAAACCGCAATATACTTTATCAAGCCTTAAATACGTCACTAGCCCTAATATAGTTTATCAAAGTAATCCATTATTTGTTATAACGACACCAAAGTTATGATTCACATATTGAGGAACACGATGCGCAACAGAGAACACCAAAGAGAACAATGTTTGCGCTTTTTTAACGACGCTGTCAATATCTGGAATACACAAATGAGTACCAGGAATTATTTAAATAATTTTCCTGGGAAGTAAAAAGCAGCCGGCGCGTAAGGCTGACACCCTTATCGACATCTTTGAGCCGACTGTTTAGATGATGTGGGCACCTCAACATCTCACAACCCTATGGGCTTTCACGGCCTGGTACAAGGATAGCTTTACTTTTACTTTACTTATGCTGAAAAGCAGATGATATGAATGATGAATTTTAAGGAGTGGTTTTGAATGAAACCAGTCAGAGCTTAATGGACGTATGAACCCAGTATTTGCCTGCAGGAAATGTGACAAGGTAAGAAAAACATATGTCAAGACACCTAGTGTCACGGCTACACCAACCCCTTCCACCCACTCACAAAATAATGTGGTACTAGCTGGCTATTCCTGTGACAGGCCGTGGAGGCTCATAGGCTTGTGAGACGTCGAGGTTCCCACATTTTCTCTAAACAATCGGCTCACAGATGGTGGCAACTTGGTCAGCTTTACGAGTCAGCTGCCTTTTACTCCCAAGAAGATTCCTGGTACTCATTTCTGTTAGAGGCTGAGTCGACCCCAGGGCCATAGTGCGGCTGGAAGGAATAGGTAAACTGAAAAAAAGAATCCACCTTATCGGGACGCGAACCCGCGACCTTCCAGCTTGTAGCATAGTGTCTCAACCAACTATGCTAGCGCGTGTCCCCAATCTGGTACTGGTGTGAATAAATTCAACCTGTATGTGTCGTTTGTTCCGGTCTAGAAAACCGTAATTAACGGTCGTGGGGATTCGTTGCGCTGACCACGCGACATCCTCTATCCGCAAAAGTTGGCACTAAACTTCGCCGACAAGCGGCGGTCGCTCGGTCGGTATAGTTCGCTTGCGGACTAAAATCACGGAGTTCATTTGTTTTATGTGTCATTTGTGAAACACTACTAGCAAAGGTTTAACGGGTCTCACATAACGGGCCATAAATTTATGTTATCCTAGTAGCAGAAAAGTTTTAGAAATACTAGCAAGTGTGGCACACAAATTCTGATCACATAACCATTTCTTTTTTTTTTTAATTCGCTTAGTGGGAGGTGGAGTCCAACTGGGTCCACTCGGCACGGCCACTGATTGGCCTATTGTAGCCTGCCCCGGGTGATTATGATGATGGAGAATTTGGTTGGAATAAAGATTGGCAGGGTAAACCGAAGTACTCGGAGAAAAACCCGCCTCAGCGCCACTTTGTAAACCACAAATCCCACTTGACTAGACCCTGGATCGAACTCAGACCGCCCCGGTGGGAAGCCAGCGACTAACCGCTTGAGCTATGGCGCGACCTCAACCAATTCTTTGGTGTGCAGTGAATTCTTCTGATGAAAAGAAGGATTTGAGGTTCTCACAGCTGTAACTGGGATGTGACACCGTGTAGTTCGAGGGACTTGTATCGCAGTACACGGCCTTACATCCCGGATGACGCGAATCATCAGAGTGAAGCAGCTGCTGACGTTCTGTTTGAAACGGGATGAGGTTATATGAGGCCGAAAGGGATTAACGTTAATCTGGATGACCCTGAAAAGTAGCTATCTTAATCCGTTTGTGATCCAGCGCCACATTCGCTTTGCCACACTGAGCAAATCAAGGTGGGGTTGGACACAGACATCGCAGCGATGTTAGTAGCTTTTCTTTTTTCTCTCTCTCCCCCACTGTGGAGCACAGGACTTATTTTTCAATTTCACTGATCATTTTCACAGACGATAGGACTCCTTGGACGGGTGATCAGCTCGTCGCAAGGCCGCTACCTACAGGAAAATACAAACGCAGAATGAACGCATACACAGACCAAATATCCATGCCTTATGTGGGATTCGAACCCACGATCCCGGCTTCTGAGCGAGCGAGACAGTACAGGATTTAGACCGCGCGGCTAATGTGACCGGCAGTAATTAGCTTTACCGCTATGTTATTCAGCTTGATATATTTACTTACCCCATTCATATAATTTTAACATATGCTCCATGTACATGAAGTGGCCCCTGAAAACGTCAAGGGTCTTGTGTGAAGGCTGAAGCAGATTTCGACTTGTTGAAAACAATTCTAACGTATGCGAGATTTGAAGCTGGAAAAATTGTTGTAATAAATGGGAGATCTGACGTTGACAATTTACCTTAACGCACGCTGCACGTTTGTTGAAGTGAGGTGTCATCTCTGACGAGAGGACGGGTCAGTTGTTTACAATTGTTGCTGGTCCTCGTCAGCGCAGTCGTTCTCGGGTTCCAGTCCAGCGGGACTCGTAACCATATTTTAGTGTCTCAGATTCGAAACTCCCCACAACCTGGAGGGCTAGATCCCCGTGTTTATACCCCCTAGGAACAGGGTGGCCCAGTTATAGCTCAGGCACGGGGTTCCCCTTCGTCGCGTTCTACGACTCGAGGGGATAGTGAAAGTAATCTAACCCACCTCCACACGGGCAACTACTAACTGGCTTAGCCGTTGGTTCTCGTTATAGAGCCTCGGTACGGACCGCATAGAAAACAGTATTTCCAACAGTTCCTCTATTGTCATGTGCGTTTCTATTCCTGCCATACATGTTTGCTGAACCGTTACCTAGCAGCTGACAATCTCTTCTGGCTTAATTATTCAGACCTTTCGGTCGCCATGTCACAGTACGCTTCAGTAAATTTTTTCTTTGTTCACACCAGTTGATTTCACTTCGCCGTCGAACTCAACACAAGCTGAACTCAATCATCTGAAATCGGATATCTCTAAAAAAAAACAAACTCCGTGGTTTCAGTCCGCAAGCGAAATATACCAACCGAGCGACAGCAACTTGTCGAAGTTAGTGCCAACTTTAGCCGATAGACGGTGCCGCGTGGTCAGCGCAACGAATCCCCAAGGCGGTTAATTTCGGTTTTCTAGACCGAAGCCGCTATTTCCTTGAAATAGCTTGTAGTGTCTCAAATTTGAGATTGGAAATTTAAGCCCTTACCTAAATGTTCGAGACTTGCGAAAAGTGTTTTACAGTCATTACATTAGTATGACAACACCTGGACAGGCAACTAGGTTAAGAATGTTGATGATCAGCATTTATGCGTAATCACATAAGTAAGAAGCTCGCTAATGAGGCCACTGGAGTATCGTAATATTACCGCATAAGCAGCAGAGAGGACCACGGGGCCCACCCCCCAGTCACAGGGAATAGCCAATGAGAATATAACTTTGGGAATTGAGAACAAAAGGGAGGAGTTAACTACCCTCTGTCGTCAACAGCTGAATTAGCAAATTGAAACTATAAATTACTGAATTTAGGAGACTTGTGATCTGATCTTAAACAGAATATGGAGTTGTCAGCCGGAGGCTCTAGGCAATATGGGCCTTACGAGTGGAGGAGGTGGCCCTACGTCTTTTATCTCAAGTAAGTCACATTTACTCATATCAGCCATGTTGTTTGATAGTATTGTTGATAAAAGTGTTGTTGAGTGATTTCAATGTGCAAACTAGAATCATGTAACATGTAATTGCCTAGGATGTTAGTCAGGCAATAGGGGTTTTATAGTGTATGTGTCAAGGTTATGGTTAGCGTGTAGTGATAAATATAGTATGTGGGTTTCAATGTGTATAACTAAGGGTAGATTATGTTAAGAGTGAAACTGTACGACGGATAGTGTAATCGTATCTAATGAATAGTAGGGAAATAGGATGACATGGAACGATTAATACTTGCCTATAGTCGAAGAGAGAGCGAAGGGAGAGAGAGACTCCAGTTTTACACCCCCGAAGGGGAGGTTCCTAGTGTAGCGTGAAGTGAAGCCTATGTAGACCCGACTGAAAGTCGGCCTTGTAATAATGTAAATATTGTAAATACGGTAAATATCAATGTAAATAGACCAGGGTAGTTAGAGTAGGATGTACCGGGATTGTGATTTACTCCTCTATAATCAACTTTCCCACGACCGATCCCGAGCAATCCTGACCAAAGCGAGGGCTGAACTGACACAGGCAGCAGTAGCAGCCGAAGGCAAAGAAAGACAAACAGGGACAGAGAGGTTAGCGGTATCACCCGATAGGAGGCTACCTGCAGACTAGATGAGGAGTTGTCAAGAGGGAGCTATGACAATATGTCAGGGGGTAGTTCCCACAATAGAGAGGACAGATGGTGGCAGCTTTAAGTGAGAGAAGGAAGCCCCGAACAGGAGAATCCTAGCTGAGGGTAAGCTAGGATTATGGTGTTAACTCCTTACAGCGTAAGCTGTGGTAGCAAGGAGGGGTACCTGCACGCCCCCCCGCACCACGGCGTTACAAGTGGCGACAGCGGTGGACAACCAACCCACCCCCGTCGCAGGGACGTTACAAGTGGCGGCAGCGAGGGATCCCTCCACGCCCCCCGGCCGCCACGGCGTTACATAGCTCTTCAATTATCCTCACGAGGCTGAGTGGATTCCGTTCCAGACCGACTACTTCTCAGAAAATCTGGTAGCGCCGGGAATCGAACCCGGGACCTCTGGATCTGTAGCCAGGAACTGTGATCACTAGACCACAGAGGCGGTCACACCACTCCCCTACAGCAACTTATTTCATCGTAAGAGGAAAGGGATGTGTTACACATACACGTTGCAGCAAACCTTTATATGTGTGCCATATCAGGTACTGAACTTAGATAAAAGTTGTCAATGATCACACAATATTTCATTTTGATTTATGACTTTCAATCCCGTTGCAGGCTGGCAACTATTGACGCAGAATGGAAAGGGGGAAAACCTGGTTATCTGCTCTTCTCTAATTCTTCAGAAGAAGTCAGAATTAGAGGGGGAAAAATAAAAGAGTAAATCAAATGTTCTAGGGCCATCTGTAAAACTTTTCTTAAACAATTTGAGCGTAAGTTTGTAGGCAAATTTCTTTCCTTCCTAACAGAACTGCCTGCTTCCCTTGGGACACAGATCCTGATGGTATCCACGTGATGTCAACATAAGGTAACGTTGCAGTGGGTGTTGCTCAGGACACACAATATTTTAACCAGTTTCAATACAATTCAAATTTTTCATAGCACATAATTTATGCTTTGAATTAAAATCACACATATCGGCCCCCATTTCTTTTTTGGATTTGAGTTCCTCACGGCGGCTATTAAACAGAGTGACATCATTTTTGATGTGACGTTTGTCTGGCAGACATTTGCCGACGTTTCGGAAGAACGTCTTGCCTCAACTTTCTTGCTGCTTGTTTGGTTTACTTTTCGACCCTGAACATAAGAGCACTTCATTACACAGAAATTCCTCTAAAATTCTCACAGCGGGCGGTAATGAAAAGTTCTATCTTCTGATATATAACGCCATATAATCAGTCGAAAGTCAACCGACGTTTCGAAAGAACATATCCCTTACATCTTCAATGTCTAAAAATAATCCAGGCAAGAAATTAGCGTGAAAGCAGGTGACTCTGCTTACCACCTCTACCTCCGAAACGTCGGTTTAATACCAACGGTCTACACGGGGTTATACCCCAGAAACTGGAACTCTCAATGTGAGGGCTCTTATTACTTCAGAATAAAGTCTAGCGGTGTGATTCTGAATACACGTACATATAACCAAGGGGCAGCTGCTATTTCACGCCATGTGTTACATTTAGTGATGTGTTGTGCAGTTACTGGTGTCTGTTCGTAGAAGTCTCCAAAATGCACGTCACTGCAGTTCTCTTACTTATTTATGATTGTTAATTAATATATACCCAGGCCGAGCAACAGCTCAGACGGCTAGTACATGGCATCCCAAAGCGGTGACTCGTGTTCGATCCCAGGTCAAATCATGTAGGATGTTTAATACAAGAAATAACACTGGGACAGGTTTTCTCCGCGTAATACGGTTTACCCTACCGATTCTCATTCCACTGATTACTCTGCAATCATCAACTATCCGACGCTATAAAGGTAAAAGTTGTCCATGTGCTTAGCTAATTAAGCACTACGCCATGAAGGCGTATGGGGGAGTGGATATATAGATCCATATTTCCTTAAACTCGCACTAGTTGGAAGTGGTTGGTTTCACGCACCTGCCGCTTTACCCATGGGAAAGTATCCCGGATAATCATTCGATATGAGGCTGGGTGGGCCCCAGAACCGGTCTGGACGACGTGGAGAAGAGAAAAATCTTGATCCTACTGGGACTCGAACTCCGACCCCTCGGTCGTCCAACCTTATTCAGCCCCTGTACCGACGCTATACTAACTCAATATCCACAGCGTTGTTAAATAACCAACTTATATCCGCCTATTTCGAAGGCGGCGCGGTCTAAACCTCGTACTGCCTTGAAACGCTCGAAAAGAAACCATTAATCGTATTTCACTCCAGCTTGGATATAAATAGGTCCACGTTTTCTTTCAAATATTAAGTTTCTGGACATTATTCACTGTCCTCTTTATAACTAAAATACTAAACTCCGTGGCCTGTAGTCCGCAAGCTAAATATACCGACCGAGCGACCGCCACTTGTCGTCGAAGTTAGTGCCAACTTTAGCGAATAGAGAGTGTCGCGTGGTCAGCGCAACGAATCCCTACGGCCGTTAATTTAGACCGGAACAAACGACACATACAGGTTGGATTTATTCACACCAGTACCAGATCGGAGGCACGCGCTAGCGTATTTGGTTGAGGCACTATGCTACAAGCGTGATGTAGCGGTAAAGCTCTTAGACTTGTATTCGGGAGGTCTTCAGTTAAAATCTTAATTGATCTAAATTGTTTTGTTTCCGATAGTTGCTCAAGCACTTGATGACACCAGTTCAGTGATGCCAACAGCAGTAACTAGAGCCACACGCCCGAGGGAACCAAGAATTGTTGGAGGAAAACCAGCAACGATGGGGCAGTTTCCTTATCAGGTAATGTTACTACGATGCTCAAGAATGATATAAGGTCCATTACATAGGGATATATAGTGAAGATATGAACTCTGTTAGGGAGAATGTGTCAATATTGTGAAAATAATTATTTATACAAAATATCCCTCTCTTCAAGCAAGTATCCCAAGAATACAATTACATGAGGTTCAAAATGCTCCACAAATAGAGTACAATATGGTCTAAATGGACAAAGTACTTATGTGTGGTGTTTCTAACGACACTGTTAGTCACTAAGAATACATGGAGTCCAACAGTATCATAACTATTGAATAATAAATTGGAAATTTGTGGGAAGGAAATGTTTGTGGCCTAATCTGAATCAATAACTCGGAAACTACTTTTAGAGACTGAAGAGAACTGCGAAGAATCTCAGGATAATTTTTGTTCTGGTCGAAATTGTATCTAGGGTCGTCCCGAACACAATAAACGAGTGTCATCCGCCGAAAAAAAAGACTATTTCGTTATTGTGCGTTGTGGTTGTAGCAAAAGTTTAAAACGTTTGACGAAATGAACGAGAATTCTCATCTTCGAACAAAAGCATGCAGGATGCGAAAAACAGTGCTCAATTTCTACGCCTTGAAGTTCATATGTTTCCCAATATTTACTAAAGAGCATGCGCTCTAAAAAAAAAGGTACCCGATACACTGCCTAGCTAACCTTACGGTATAAAACTTCATTGTATGTCCGAAATTCCAACCGGTGTATGAACACCGGTCAATGAGGATGAGGTGGGCAGGGCATGTAGCATGAATGGGGGAGAAGAATACATATAGGATACTGGTGAGAGAGCCAGAAGGAAAAAACCACTGGAAAGACCAAGACGTAGGTGGGTGGACAATATTAAAATGGATCTTAGAGAGAATGGATGATATGGATTGGATTGATCTGGATCAGGATATGGATCAGTGGAGGGCTCTTGTGAACACGGTAATGAACCTTCGGGTCCCATAAAATGCTGGGAAATTCTTGAGTAGCTGCAGATTTGGCTTCTCCTCAAGAAGGCCTCAGCTCCATGAATACAGGAAGTATGAAGTATGCAGAATCCAGTACCTTTCTAATGACCCAATGATTTATGTTAGTAGCAGACGAATATGCAGCCTCGTTCTTTCAGTGGAGTGAGTATAAGTACAAGCTTCTCAGAGGATAGAGTTGAAGATTCGGGTCAGGAAAAGAATGAACACAAGATTCTCCCACCAATCTGCCTACTTCTCACCACGCTTTTGCTGGCCTTCCCCATATTCCCACCGGTTATCACTTCTTTTGTGGATGTCTCCCTCCATAGAGCTTCTCACCCTTCGCGTCCTAAGCGTGTCCTTATTGAAGGAAGGGTGGGGGTGTGCGATGTAGGTATGGTGGGGAGCCGGGCGCCCAACTTTAACCTCCATCATCTGTTCGCTCATTCATTCGTTTGTGCGTTCAATCCCTGATCTGAGTTTCGTTTATTGACTTCAGAAGGCATCAGGTTCGAATCTCAATCCGGATATAAAAATTGTAAATCGTTTGTGGTCTGCATTATATCACTAAGATAAGCAGCCGATAAATAAACGACGTTAATATACGTATATAATATATATATATATATATATATCAAATTTATTTCCCATCCTATGTCTCTCAATTCATCATTGAAAACCTGCCATAATTCTAAAATACGAAACCCATGTCAACTAATAGATAGTTATAAAGCAAAGAGTAAAATCAGTCTAGCCGAAGTGCGTTATATTTGCAGGTGCTTCTTTACATTAACACCGACGATGGGCTGCATCTGTGTGGCGGTACGATTATTGCAGAGCAGTATGTGTTGACGGCAGCACACTGTGTGTCCGAGTAAGTTTTAATCTTCAGCAGGCCTTTGTATTCAGGGCAGCACACTGTGTGTCCGAGTAAGTTTCGATCTTCAGCAGGCCTCTATATTCAGGGCAGCACACTGTGTGTCCGAGTAAGTTTCGATCTTCAGCAGGCCTTTGTATTCAGGGCAGCACACTGTGTGTCCGAGTAAGTTTCGATCTTCAGCAGGCCTTTGTATTCAGGGCAGCACACTGTGTGTCCGAGTAAGTTTCAATCTTCAGCAGGCCTTTGTACTCAGGGCAGCACACTGTGTCCGAGTAAGTTTTAATCTTCAGCAGACCTTTGTATTTAGGGCAGTACACTGTGTGTCCGAGTAAGTTTTAATCTTCAGCAGGCCTTTGTATTGAAGGGAGCATATTGTGTGTCCGAGTAAGTTTTAATCTTCAGCAGACCTTTGTATTCAGGGCAGTACACTGTGTGTCCGAGTAAGTTTTAATCTTCAGCAGGCCTTTGTATTGAAGGGAGCACATTGTGTGTCCGAGTAAGTTTTAATCTTCAGCAGGCCTTTGTACTCAGAGGAGCGCAATGTGTGTCCTAGTAAGTTTTAATCTTCAGCAGGCCTTTGTATTGAAGGGAGCACATTGTGTGCCCGAGTAAGTTTTAATCTTCAGCAGGCCTTTGTATTCAGGGCAGCACACTGTGTCTCCGAGTAAATTTTAATCTTCAGCAGGCCTTTGTATTCAGGGTAGCACACTGTATCTCCGAGTAAGTTTTAATCTTCAGCAGGCCTTTGTATTGAAGGGAGCACATTTTGTGTCCGCGTAAGTTTTAATCTTCAGCAGGCCTTTGTATTGAAGGGAGCATATTGTGTGTCCGAGTAAGTTTTAATCTTCAGCAGGCCTTTGTATTGAAGGGAGCATATTGTGTGTCCGAGTAAGTTTTAATCTTCAGCAGGCCTTTGTATTCAGGGAAACACATTGTGTGTCCAAATAAGTTTTAATCTTCAGCAGGCCTTGGTATCCAGGGGAGCACATTGTGTGTTCGAGTTAAGTTTTAACCTTCAGCAGGACAGTGGCCAATAGAAGGTCTTGTAAAAACGATCATGGATATGATATGGCATTATATCTCTGAAGATGGTGGTCTTCACAGTAATAACATTTCGATTTTCATGTATGGAAGTGAATTATTTGATCAGTTGAGAGCCTATTAAGTTCTAAAACGCTCTGCCAGATGGAGTTAGTTGCAGTAATTATTATCTGACTGAGTTCTGAAGCCAGAGGGCAAGGAAAATTGAGGGTAGAGGAGTAGGATGATTCAACTCCGCTGCTAGGTAAATGGGGGGGGGGAGCTTCGATTCTTCTTCAGAGCTCAGTAAGACGATATTCGTTTTTATTGCAGCGCGAAAGCTTCTGATATCGAAGTGTTGGCTGGGAACATAAATCGAAGTGTTTCGAGGAGACACTGGATCCAGTCACGGGTATCGCAAATGTACGTTCACGAATCCTACATGCAACTACAAAATTACAATGACCTAGCTGTACTAAAGGTAGGTAAAATCTTATCTTAGAAGAAATAGCCTATACTTATTTTGTAATTATGTATTATCCATAATGTCCAGGTGTTACTATATGAACAACATGCTTTAATATAACGAAAATCTGTATTCTGCTCACAGAGTGTATTTGTGTGTCTCGTTTTGTTCTCACAATAAACAGCGGCTGTTTCCCTAAATAACAGTAACCGGTTGGGCTTTGTACTGGAGATGTAATGTGTTTCCTGTGAGGTACGGACTGAATTCTTATATATACTGCATTCTGCCCACAGAGTGTATCTGTGTGTTCCGTATGGTTCTCACAATAAACAGCGACTGTTTCCCTAAACAGCATTAACCGGCCGGGCTCTGTAGTGGCGACGTAATGTGTTTCCTGTGAGGTGCAGACTGAATTCTTATATATGGAGTCCGATTGCTAGGAAATGCATGGGTGGACACGTCTAACAACAATACATCATCTCCGTTGCTGAGCAGGGATGTGTTTTCTGTGGATGGTCCGTGCCGTGCAGTGAACACTGTTCGAGAGATTCGTCAGGAAGACCTCTTTCAAGGCAGTCCAATAGCTGGATGTGTTAGTGTAATGACGAATTGTAGTTACGACGTGGAAATTATAGAACAAATCGAGTTCTCAAATCCGGAACCCATTATTTACTGTCGCGTTAGCAGGATATACGTTACATTATTTTTTAATTAAATTTCGCTTGATGATGATAACAAATAATTCGGTCGAAACATGTTGTGAGTGAATTTAGAAAACGACTTGGTTTTTATACTACTGAAGTGCCATATATGAAATGTTGTGTCGAAGCTTAATGAAAGAATATAGGAGACCGAGCTCGAAACACAATGAACTGCACTGCACGCCCTACGTAACAGAGGTTCCATTGCATTGTTTTCTCACAGTTGGAACAAAGTTACGATCTCGATGGACTCTCGACTTCCTCGCTGAAACTAAGGAGCACTCCCGTTGCTTCGGGCACGCTCTGCACTGTTACTGGCTGGGGAAGTACAAAGGAGGTAAGTATGCAACACAGCTAACTGTTAAGTCTAAATACCAATGTATCTATGGCCTGTCGTCCGCAAGCGAACTATACCGACCGAGCAACCGCCGCTTGTCGGCGAAGTTAGTGCCAACTTTAGCGGATAGAGGGTGTCGCGTGGTCAGCGCAACGAATCCGCACGGCAGTTAATCTCGGTTTTCTAGACCGGAGCCGCCATTTCCTTGAAATAGCTCCTCAATTACCCTCACGAGGCTGAGTGGACCCCGTTCCAGACCCACTATTTCTCAGAAAATCTGGTAGCGCCGGTAATCGTACCAGGGATCTCTGGAACGGCAGCCAGGAACTCTGACCACTAGACCATAGAGGCGGTCCAAATAGCAATGTCTGCTTTTCAGAAATAAAAATATTTTTCTCGTACAATGAAGCCTTCTCGGACGACAAATCACATCAGTGTTTTGTTAGCAGCCAATGTTTCCCGTACCCTTCTCCATCAGCAGGGGCTGATGTGATGTGATGTAGACATACAGCGCTCTCAGAAACGTCGGCTATTAATTCCATATCCACATGGTTGATGGCTGAAGAAGGCTTCACTGTATAATGTAGTTGAGGCTGTTTCAAATTGAAGATATATCGTTATCGTAAGCTTCGACAGCGTGTTAGTGACTAGACATGGGGTTTGGATTGATAATTGCATTTACTCAACGCATATAACACGTAACTACAAATAATTATAACACTCATTAATGTGCACACTCCGGAAATCACTACTGCAAACACAAGTCTTCTCAATCACCTGTCTTCACTTGTCTTTGCTTGGTATCGGCGTCTAGCAATGCAACTCAAGACTGGCTTCCAACTGCCGACTCAGACCTCAGACCTAACTTTTCCCGTTCGTGCTCTCTATATAGTATTGGCACGTACTGCATAGAAAACGCCGCTTTTTAATTGATCTAGTCCTTCCGGCCGCATTATGACCCTGCGGTTGACTGAGCCTCTAACAGAAATAAGTATTAGAAAACTTTCTTGTGGCAAAGAGCGGCCAGTGCTTAGGGCTGAAAACTTCGCCGCCATCTGTGAGCCGTATGTCTAGATAATGTGGGAGCCTCGACGTCTCACAAACCTATGGGCCTCCACGGCCTGTTACAGAGATGGCAGGGCTATTTGAGAATTTATTTCTTTTGCAGAAAGGATCGAGTTCCAACAGTCTACAGTACGTAAATGTGCCAATTTTGGACGAGAGGATCTGTTCGGAGGGCCTGTGGAGGCAGCTGTTCCAAGGGGAGATCTGCGCGGGCTACACTTACGGTGGGAAAGATGCGTGTCAGGTAATGTATGACGTATCACATGTCGTCATAGTTTTACAGGTCTACCGTACAGCGCTTCTGTTTGCCGACTTTTCGAAGGAGGGATCTCGGCTAGCCGTCCATAACGCATTCCAAAAAGAATGAACAGAACACTATAATTCTATCTTCTGGAATGTAACTCCCTGTAGTCCTTTGAAATTGAACCGTAGTTTTGAAGGAACATTTCGCCTCCATCTACAGGATAAAAAAAAAGGCAAGCAACATTCCAGCATGAAGCAGGTAGCAAGCCTGAAGATGGAGGTGACATGTCACTCCTAAATGTCGGTTGGCTTTCAGCGAACCACACGGCGTTTTATCCAATAAGATGGAGCTCTTCATAATTACCGCTGTGAGAATCTCAAATTTTACAAAAAAAAAAAAAAAAACCTTAGTCACAAAAATACTGTCACGTGTTCGTCAAAGTCACATTGCGACTGACGGTCAGTCAGCAAGTCTTGGTGTCGAGCCTCATCTGCGGCTCATGACCAGATATTTATTACTGTTTGACAGTTACGGTTTTGTTTTTGTGCGGCGCCCTCTCTGGCGAGAGGTAGGATCTGTCTTTTTTATATGCTGCTGTCCCTTGCCAGGGCAGTACTCTCGGGTCTGAGTCCCTTGGGACTCGCGACGACATTTTACTGTCTCAGATTTGAGACTTCCCTTTTCGTCGCCGCCTACGACTCACAGGGCTACGGTGGAGGTATTCGACCCCGCCTCCACTCGGGTACACGTGTTCGTGACTAGACACGATATTTGGATAGCCTCCGCTCGGACCGCGCAGAAAATACTATTTCCAACATCTGTTCTATTGTTGAGCGTTTATTCTTTGTGTAGCAATGATACCTTATTAGATTACGTCATATCGTGTTTACTGTGTCATTGCTTAGCAACGGATGACATCTCTTGTTAAGTTATTGGATCACATCACAGTAGTTAAATATCAGTCACCGAAATCACAGCCCGTGTGGAGTCGAGTTCGAGTACCTCCACCGAAATCCTAAGAGTCATAGGAGGCGACGAAAAGGTACCCAGTGCCTGGGGGTATAACCGGGCCACCCTCTTCCTGAGGGATATAAATTCGGGAACATGGCTCTCAAGGTTCTGGAGTCTCGAGTCTGAGAGAGTAAAATGTGGTCATGAGTCCCTCGGGATTCTGACCTGTGAATGACTGCGTTGGCGAGGACGAACAGCATTTGTAAACGAAAGATCCATCCTCTCGTCAGAGAGGATGTTACATAATGACTATAACCGAAAGTGTACAGTTGGAAAAGGAAATTACTGGTCGTGAGTCTCGAGGGGTTTGTCGCCAAGACGATCTGATCGGCGGTAAACAGCCAGTAGTAAAGTAACTCTGACAGTATTTCGCCCCATAACGTATTCCATACAGCAATATCAAAGCAGTTTCAAAACATTTTGGGTTATGGAATTATTCAGGGAATTATTGTCTTCAATTTAGAAATGAAAAATCGAAAATGTTATACAAAAACCATTTAATAATAATATAGGGAATTATAACATTATTTGTTGGTTGCTCACGACCGCTTATTCAAGTCCGTTGCCACGGTAACTGGGGACGCGTTTAACAGTCACATGCAAGAGCTTAAGATATTAAAACATTTTGTTTCATTAACATTATTATCTCGGTATAAATTTTTACAGGGTGATTCGGGAGGACCTCTGGTTTGTGAAGGATATCTGACAGGAGTCGTATCCTGGGGAGAAGGATGCGCTAGAGTAAACAGACCCGGTGTTTATGCTAACGTTACTTGGTTCAAAGCATGGATCGAAGAATTGGCTGGTTTTGACGACGAGGCTTCAGTAACAACTGACTCGACTTCCGAAGAACAGTCTGTAACAAGTTTAAATTCAGAAGAATTCGACACTTCAACAACAAGCGGAACGGATAAAATAAAATCATTAAGCTTTGCATCGAGTGCTGTGATAATTTTTGCTTACCTATTTAAGTGAACATATACTATTTCTATATAAAGTAAAATCATTATGGTGCTGAGTGAGACAAATGCGCATGCGCTGGTTTGTGGTGCTACCAATTCTGCCGGTAGGTGGATATGCCATTAACAATTCTTCTGTCATCTGTCGTCATATTCATTAAAATTTCTCATATTAATCAGCTTCCTGAAACTTGAATTCTCTGTTTTATTGATTTGGTGTTGAGACTGGACTTGTGAGTAAGAGAAACTGAGATTTTCAGACTCCATATGATCAATAAATAACGCCCGTCGTTTAACCACTCAATAATTTCCTTATATGTATGTTATCCAAAGGCTTATTACCGTGTTCGCAATCTCTCTCCACTGGTCTCCATCTTGAGCCAGATTAATCTAGTCCATACCACACCATTCTAAACCTCTAAAATACATTTTAGTATTATCCCCTCAATTATGTGTAAGAATTCCTGGTGGTCTCTTTCCTTTTGGCTTTCCAAACAAAATTATATATGTACTCCGCCTGTACGCTATGCGTGTTACATGCATTTCCCACACTATCTTCATTGACTTGATCATTCTAATTTTATTTGGCGAAGGGTAGAAGTTATTAAATTATTAATTATGAAATTTTCTCTAAACTATCACTTATCGNAGATACAAAGGTTCAGACCCATACAAAACCATAGACAAAATTATAGCTTTTACATTTTAATACAGAGATTTTCAGTACTAAGAATAGTACATTTGGTGCATCACTAGAGATCGAAGATGCAGAAGGATTAGATGAAAAGCCTTTCAGCCGCTTTGTCACACATTTAAACTCAGGAAACTTAAGCCAGATCGTTATGAAATGTCCATGTTAGAAAAAAAAACTCAATGATTTTAGTCCGCAAGCGAACTATACCGACCGAGCGACCGCTGCTTGTCGGCGAAATTTAGTGCCAACTTTCAGCGGATAGAGGGTGTCGTGTGGTCAGCGCAACGGATCCCCACGGCCGTTAATCTCGGTTTTCTAGACCGGAGCCACTATTTCCTTGAAATAGCTCCTTAATTATCGTCACGAGGCTGAGTGGACCCAGTTCCAGACCCACTACTTCTCAGATAAAAATCTGGTAGCGCCGGGAATCGAAACCGGACCTCTGGATCTGTAGCCAGGAACACTGACCACTAGTTAAATTTAACTGCATCGACTAAAGCCGGCTAAAACTTCAGTCGAATGTATAAACGTTTACATGCTGAAGGTTTCCATCTTCTGGAATGCGATGTCGTGAGTCTCGAGACCTCTTACAAGAGTACAAAGTGCCACATATCAGAAAATGCTCCTGCACATAATCTCGGCGCTCATTGCGCCAGATTTCAAGTATTAATACGTGTACGTTTATCGAAACATGGATACTGAGGGGAAGCTCACTTAATGGGTTAAGTGATAAGTACGTTTAAGAAAGCAGTCTTCTGGATGTGGCGCCGTGTAGAGTTGATGTTAACCGACGTTTCGGAAGAATGTTTCGCCTCCATCTTCCATGCTCGCACCTGTTCTCACTGTTTATTTGTTTGCGGATTTTATTATTTTTCCTTATACCCTGAAGATGGAGGCGTTACATTCCTCCGAAACGTCGGTTAACACATCTACACGGCGCCACATCCCAGAAGACTGCTGGGGACGTGGAGCTAATAGCTATAATCATGAAGAAAGAGCTCTTACAATTATTATTCAAGCGATCTAAGGGTTGAGGGCGAAGTGAACTGCATCCTGATGTGAAAAAGAGACTGAAAAGTTTCCAATTCCCGAGGACGAACATCTTAAATTCTGTCGTGTAGTTAAGCAGATATAATTTCTCTTAGTAGGGGGCGGAGTCCAACTGCGTCCACTCGGCACGGAGGCCACTGATTGGCTTATTGTAGCCTGCCCCGGGTGATTATGATGATGGAGAATTTGGTAGAATGAAGATTGGCAAGGGAAACCGAAGTACTCGGAGAAAAATCTACCCCAGCGCCACTTTGTCCACCACAAATCCCACTTGACCAGACCTGGGTTTGAACCCGGGCCGCCGCGGTGGGAAGCCAGCGACTAACCGTTTGAGCTATGGCGCGGGCTACCTGAATCTCAACTCATCTTAGCTATATTTTTTCAAGATTTGAAAACCGTATACACGTCGATAAAATTATTTTGTATTCAAATTTTTCTTTGACGACTATTATATTGCAGAATATGACATCGTGTAGTTTGATAGAATTTTCTATCAGTCTATAGGGAGGGGATTAAATCGCAGAAAACAATGCACTCTGTAGTCACTGATATGAGAACCTCAAATAAAATGAAATTAGTTTTTCTCGTTTATTTATTTTTATGTAATTTTTCGTGTGATTATCCGTTCCTAAAAGTCGAAATTATTTTTCCTAAAATATTCTTATGGAATAACATGTGAACCAACTCCTTTTTAAATAAAATCTGAAATTCGAAAAATGATTCTGTTCCTAAAAATTGAAAACCAGCAACTTACATCCGCGACAAAATAAAGGTGAGTACATCTCCTCTTGTTTTATTGTAATATACAGAGTCACTGAAAGGAGCTCAGATAGCGCAGTCGGTACAGCTACTCCCTACACGATGGACGACCGAGGGGTCGGAGTTCGAGAGCCGGTATGGGCAAGAATTTTCTCCAAATCGTCCAGACCGCCTCTGGGGTCCATCCAACCTCCTATAAAATGGTTACAGGGGCCACGTTCCCGGTGTGAAGAGCGGCCGGGTCGTGAAGCTAACCACTCACCTCCAGCTAGTGCCAAGGTCAAGAAAATATGGATCAATACATCCACTCCCCTTCATGGCGTAGTGTTTAATTAAGCACAGGGACAACTTCACTTTTATAGGGTCAATAATGGACCAACTCAGAATGCGATGGCGTAAGAGAAGTTGCTCTTCTGCTTAACTACTTAAGCACTAAACCACGAAGGCGTAGTGGATGGGTAGTGCAGTTGGCCGGAAGGCCGCGGGTTCGATTCCAAGGATTTTTCAATTGACCTAATCCTTCCAGCCGCACTATGGCCCTGGGGTCGACTCAGCCTCTAACAGAAATGAGTACCAGGTATCTTCCTGGGGGGTAAAGGACGGCCCGAGCGTAAGACTAACAACCTCAATGCCATCTGTGAGCAGACTGTCTAGATAATGTTGGAGCCTCGACGTCTAACAACCCTACGGGCCTCCGCGACCTATTGCAGGGAAGAGAACAGGTAGACGGTAAATTAAATATTACCCCTGTGTCTAAGCACCATACTATAAAGAGGAGTGGTAGAAAGAGGAGAATCGTCAGCCGCTCAATCTGGCTGCGTCACTTCCGGGAAAAAACGTCCCGCTACAGAATGGGTAGAAGCATGAGTGGCCCAAGGGAAGCGTTATCTGAATATAGTTTGGAACTTCTGTCTCTTCCGGGGATCGAACCCTGGTTCTCAAGTCCGTAGTCAGTTTCTTTACTGACTCCGTCATCTCGACCATTCCGAAGCAATTTGGAGGTTACAATCACAACGTGTCATGGAGTGAAGGGTGGGCGTGGAGGATTTTCTCCACCTCTTCCGCCATCCATGCCGATGCGCCCTTGGAGAATGGCCAGTTGCAAGGCTAAGCGCTTGGTAATTGTCTCGCTAGCTACCTCTTAGCTGTGAGTTCACAGTATCGCAACCCTGGGAGGTACGGGAGATCGGGAAATAGAGGGTGTGACTGTGGGGTAAGTCATTAACACACGCATCCCCCTTACTTGGTCTACTCTCGTCTACTAATATATACACTTATATACATTTCACTTTCATGGCCGACAGTGGCCGGCTACGTACACATTGTAATTTAGATAAATACACACTTGGGTTCACCATCCTAGCTCTCGTGGTGGTTCCTACTCAGGGCCTACTCTCTCTGCCCTAACCGTGTAACATGGCACTTTAATAATATCCCACTTTATATCCATGACTGATATGAACAGTTCGACTTACTTGGTGTAGGAAGCTGATGGTGTCCCCTCACTTGGTCTGGCACGACCATGGCTCTGGCCCTCTTGGTCTCTGGCTGGCTACTCCCTTAACATTTGTCACTCAGATACATGGATAGATTGATTGATATAGATTGATTGATTGATGTGTATAGATTGATCCCTCCTCCAGTTGTGTCAGCTTCTTTATAACTTTTTCTCTGCTGACTCCTGTCTTTGGGGTTAATTAGAGCGAATTCTCCCCCAAAGGTCCGTCTGGTCGGTCATCTCGGTAGAGAGAGGGTTGGATCTCCTCAGGCGGTCTCGCTGAGTCGGCTCTGTCCGCCTTGGCCGTCTGCCATCTGTTCCGCGTGAATCAGCAGTCTAAGCAATGCGACAATTTTCTACTGACGTTGCTACTTCCTGCATTCTACTACAAACATTAACCCTTCGTCTACTTCCTCTAACTGTGAACCAAAGATAACTTAATACATAAAAGTTACAAAAACCCTTGCCAAAATTCTACGGCAGTACACAACGATTACCTAAAATGTAAAAAGATCATGTTATCCATGTGCCTAATTAATTAAGCCATGAGGACATATAGGGGAGTGGAGTTAGAGATCGGTCATTCTTGGCCTCAGCACTAAATGGAGGAACTTTACCCCCGGTAAAAGGCCAACTGCACACACTGGATAGGAGACTGAATGGGCCGCACAACCGGTATTGACGCTCACAGATAAACCGACTGAGCTATCCTTACTCCATCGTACTGTTTTTATACTTCCCAGACAGAAGAAACGGGAAGAGAAACGAAAGAATATAAACATACACAAGCAAGCCAGAAATATGTTAGATGAATAAAAAGCTATTTCAATCTAATAATACTGTAATTATATTAGGTCTAATAATTATCTTTATTGCTGACAATTATTCGGATGTCTTACATAAAATTTATGTTTCTCCTCACGGTAGAATCAAATAAAACATACAAACGCATACAGAATGTTACCTTTTTCAATAAGCTCCGAGTAGGTTGAGGTCTTACGAAGGGCTGATCCCCCATCCAAAAAGTCCTACCAATTATCTATACGATTCATAATTTCACAATTAATTCTAAGTGGGAACATGGCGTCAAGGTAGATGGAGAGGAAAGAATGTGAAAGGAAGCTGGAAAACCTTGTTTTGAGATATTAACGGCCATTTATCTAGATGAACACATGTAAATAACCCTAAGTCAGGATAGTAAGGGGGTTGCGGCCGAGATTCGAACTGGCCACCTCCGGAATATAAGACAGAAGAATTACGGGCACAGCTAACTTGCTCG